TGAGCAGGAGACTTGCTCATATAGACCACGTTAGTCTTCCTGAATGGGGACGTCAGGATCACTGTATTTAATCGTTAAAGACACTAAGTAATACGGCTGTGTCGCAAACAGCGGTGGTCGTGCCTCTACTCATTATCCTTGCAACCTTAGTCCGGGTGATCACACACCTTCCATGCGCTGGGTCTGGAGTTCAAAGCCCGGATAGGACGGTGGATGTGCACTAATGATGAGCTCTAATAAGAGCGCAACTCGAGTCTAGCGCTTCCGAGTGTATGATCAACTGGAACAACTTGGGATTGTGCGTGAAGGTGACGTCTGAAGGATGGTCAGTTCAAATCAAAGTGAATTCTCTCCATCTTTGACTCTGCTAGCAGTCATGAAACCGAAACCAAAACCAGCTCATGAAAGTAATTGGTTAATGGTTGTAAACATTGAGCTGAACTATGTGTTTAGAGTTGCGGGTAATGAGTTACAGTGTGTACCGGGATTACTGACGAAGTGAAATAACAGAAAGCACGTATTCCTCTACTAACGCGTACAATGGTTAGATAAACACCACCGGGAAACGACTGAATATGGGCAGGTCAAACGTGTGCGTCAGACGAATTGCTAATTTTTGATGTATTGATATGTATTTCGAACTCGCTACTCATCGAACGCGGACGTCGTGCGTTTGTCTGTGTGTGTGTGTGTGTGGTTGTTGTTTCATTCGACAGCTGACTCGAAGGGGAAAAGCAATTATTGTTGTCCAGACATGCTAGCGATTAATCCAAAGCGGGTCGGAATGACTGTTTGGGGGTCTGAGTGTTCCAGCTTTTCTAGTGTTAATTGATGCAAACCTAATTTCGCGGAAGAGCAAAATATATCAAATGAAATATGATAAAAAATGGTGACTTGGGAGGTCATTGGAAAAAAATTAAGAACAACTCTGAAAAAAGAAAATGCTTACTATGACCACATGGCATTGCTGATGATAACTAAGCTGTGGCTCATTATAAGTAATGTGAAAAAGTAACGAAGGTAATGTAGTTTTGGTCAATCCCGTTTATCTTCCGTACTACTTAAGAACATCTAATACTGACCAAACTTAAGTCACAGTTTCGGAGTTCAATGATTTTTTCTAATCGTCAAGGGGTGCGACAAAGCACCAATGTATGGTTTTACTTCTAACGAAACTGATAAATGTTAGCAATATATCTTTACTCAATTGGACACAGTAAACAAATTGGTATGATCAGCTACGAGGTGGCCGAGTGAGTAGCATGTTTGTGTTCTGCCTGCGAGGTCCCGTGCGAGATCCCCCGTAGCAACCAACATATGTGCGCAAGAAGCACTCAGAAGCTTTGCTGTATAAGTAGGAAATTTGGGAATGAATTGATTAATAATGTAATGACATCTGGGCGGAAGTCCTTTATCCGATCGGATCATTTTGTGAGCTCACGTGTGTTAGCTCATCGTGAAACGAAGTACTGTGATCCTGAACTTTTATAGGTGAATATTTAACAGCCAGTGGCTGGTGAATAAACACAATGATGACTAAACTGATTTATTTATTATTTATTATTTTCACAGGTTGGTGTGCATTATGAGTAGACTTAAAGTTGACCTGGCGACAATAACACTACATAGGCCACCGTCCACCATAGTTCGGTGATATTCTCATGTTTTCCCACTTTTTTAAGCAATATTACTCTTCGAGGTGAAACTATTATTATAGAAATAAACCGAACGTGGGGAAAGGTATCTATGGTGGTCGGCGTTGAACATGGTTAACCAGTAGTCTCTTGGAGGGATGCGAGTCCATACAATCCGCTTCATTTTATTGCGCAATGGTCCCGTGGGTTATAGTGCCAAGGCGAATCAAGATAAATGTGATTAAAACGTACCACGAAATGCATTCAGTTGTCTGCGTATCCCATGTTCAAGGGCAAAATGTAGACACCTGCGAACATACGATTCCGCATTAGACGAGCACAGTGTTTCATCGCTTTCGGTCGACTCATCTACTTCGTCTGTACTTGCTGTTCCGGCAACAGCAGTGTCGTATCGTCTTGTGAGAGGAAATTCAGTCTGACCGAATCGCTAAATGTTGGATGGAGCAGTGAGAAAAACAGGGAAGCATGAAGGTTATTCAATCAGTTGTACAGATTTGGAGGAGCTTTGCGTCTAAGATTACTCGATTGTGACTTAGTCATTTCATAAAGGACGTTCCAGTCCATCCGAAGGGCGCTTGATCCTATAAACTGGACGCCGGCTCACAGTGGATTGCGGTTTTCTCACACGGCTCCGCTGCCTTGCGGGTCAGGCTTTGACTAGCCGAAAACTGCGGTTGTGGATTCCTCAAGAAAATTCCCCTGCCCTGGCCTAGGCAACC